TCCTGTTTGGTTTATGGCTGATGTCCTGGTGTACTTTGGTACGAACTAAAAAAGCAGCCTCTGTACCACCTATCCCTTCACTCTGCTTCCTTTGCTCTGTGATACCCATTCCTACTGAAAAACTCTTCCAATCATTTCATCACATATTTACCGCCTATTTCCACATTGCTAGACCCAGGTATCAAGGACACACACAAAAGAGATAGGTGGATTTCTGTGATACCTTGTCTCAAAAAAATAAAAAAGGTAAGTACTCTTCTTCCTCATATGCCTAAATAAGAAGAACATAGAAGAAAAACAAAATAAAACAAAAAAACAAAGTATTAAATTTTGAGTTTAGTCTAGCAAATATACCTCCCAGGCAGCGGGCTATTTCCTTTCACAGTGGGGGCCAGCACAGTCCCAACACCCCTTTCCCTTGTCAGGCCAAAGAGCCAGCAGATGCACACCACATGCAGGACCTTATGGAGCTACTGAGAGGGGCCTGGAGATGTCTGTCTCCTGGGTCAAGTGCTCGTCCCACTGTGGTAGCTCAGGGGTAGAGAATGAGAGTTTGCTTCCTGGCATAAAGCCTGGACTGAAGTTGGTTATTTGGTGTACATTCAGCAAGGAGGGGCGATAAACACACAAGGAGAAGACAAATATGTCACGGGCTATGTAAGAAAGAGGAGAATGGTGCCAACTTTTAAGTAAACGCAGTAGAAAAGGGGATTTCAAAAGCCAAATTCCTGTGAGGTAGGAGGTAAGTTAATAACGGTGCTGCTGTGGGCTCCTTCTGTATGCATCAAGGCCCTTTTGTAAAATAAATGTTCTCTATTCTTTGGCACCTGCTTGTGGGTGACTCAATCTTTTACAAACTGGAAAAGGAATAATATAAATCCATATTACATAGGGAATTTCTCTAATTAGCAGTGCAGTGTATTAGTAAGAAAGTGTGAATTTAAAACATCTACAAGCAGCTGCCTTTTCACTACTTCTCATTGACATTTCTTTACTAAAATAAATGTTAACAATACATAACCTAAACTGAACACACTGTGGCAATCCATTAATAAGTTAGTTTAATAAAATCAGTTCTTTGGTATTTTCAATGATCTTTTCTAAAGTAAATAATCTTAGAATTTTCCAAAGTTAAATTTCTTCCTTGAGAATTTTCTAGAATATTTTAAAGTAAATGATTGAATCTCTGAAGAATTATTTGGCTGAGATTAAGATAAATATTTATAAAATTATAATATGAAATCAAGAGAAAATTTCAAAACCATGCAGCAAAGGCAAACATACTCCCTGTATAATGGGGCAATTCCAGCAAGCTTAAAACACTTCCTTGCAAAAACACAGATAGCCAAACTGGACTCCTAGTACCCTTAGTGCTTAAATGCTCTTGTGACTTCCTGCACATCAGTCCTCTGCTGGCTCCAGAGGTCCTGAGCTAGGCATCATCTGAAAGAGGGGTACATTCCTATACATCTGCATGCATACATGCATCTCCACCCCACACACCCCTGAAGCCACAAGAGAACCAGATACCACTTCAACAGCACCCATGGACAGTCATGGAAACTTAAGAAAGGGTAAGGCAAAGAAAGGGTTTCACACACCCAGTCACTCACTGTCTTAGGTGCAAGACTTTCCTGAATGGCTCTGAGGAAAGTAGGCAAAAAAAATGTAAATCTGATAATTACATATTTCTTTTCTATAATTAAAATTTTATTGTGTCAATGTTTATGGAGATGGGAATGGACTTATTTGGAAATCAACTTAACAATGAAATAATGCTGTAATACAGAGGTTTTTTTTTTAAAAGAAAAAAAGCAGAGGTTCAATACAATGTTCATAAAGTGAGCAGACCCTCTCAGCCATGAGGGTTTTGTGCACTCAAAAAAGCACACCCATGCTTTTTCAATGTACCATTTTACAAATGTGGGGCATTATTAAGAGGGGGCGGATTCTGCCAGGCACATAATTTGTATATTTAAAGGGGGTGTATGGAATGAAAAAGAGAAATATGTTAAATTTCAAAGGACTTGGAAGTAATGCTGCCTGTGAGCTTGTATTACAAATAGCCCCACATTATTACATAGGCTATTAATGAGGCCAAGTGAATGAAAGTACAATTTGAATATGCATGACTCTATCCAATGAGCAGGACTTTTGTGTACAGATGAGTTTTTCCCCCCTCCAAAAAAGGATTAAAATTATTCTTAGAGAAGTATGGCTGCCTAGAAATGAGTAAAATAAATATATTTAAACCAGAGTCACATTGTATTCATACAAAATATAAAGGTGCTAAAAGATTGTTGCTGACCCCACCTATAATTTCTGAAACATTTGCATAGTCTATCTTCTTACAGGAATATTCTTCAACCCAAGCAGTCATGTTAGTACAATCTCTAAGCAAAAATAATGATTTTGCTGGAGATGCCTAAAAGTAGCCAAGGTTAAGTAAACCTTTGAGTACAAAGTCTTCAGTTCCATAGTAAGAAGCACTAGTTAAAAGACTGGGGAATGGGTAAATTATTGCGCCAAATGGCTGAGAATTAATCTCTGCTGACTAGCTGTAATCTAACGAGGCGTCTGTGTCCCAGGGAGCCCGCAGCATGTCCCTGGCGGTATGTGCAGTGTGTCGAGTCTGCGTGGCACCCTTTGTCCTCGCTCACAGGCGGCCTTTCCCCTCATTGTCCATAATATCCTCATGCATCTGGGACGCGTGGAATGCATTCATACTAACAGACTTACCATTGTTTTCTCTCAGAAGCTTTGTTGAGCAAAGACTGCATCACGGTTACTGATAATTATATTGCTTAATTAATCAAGACAAAAAAATTTGCAAATCATTGCCTGGTTGCCAAGCAAGGAGATAAAAAATGACAACAATACAAGCTGAAGCAATATAACAAAAGTAACAGCTATCTGATCAGAAATTCTTATATAATGAAGCTATTAATGCTAAATCGGTTAATGTTAGCATTGCTCCAGGTGTCTCTACTTAGATGCAAACAAAAAGGCTAACATTATGGATATAAAAGGCCAAATGTTGCCATGGATTCTGTAACCTGATAGAGAGGACAGCCTTTTCATTTGATTAGGGAATGCAATTTAAATACCAAGGATTGAAGCCAAACAAACAGACTTTCCCTCCGAAAGCCTCTTGCATTCACCCTGGGGTCAGTGGTTGGTGAACAAAAGGTCAGCTACACTTGCCCTGGAAATGTCTGGATTAATTTTATTACATTGTAATGGTTTGTACTTTAAATGTAGGGATAATACTAAGTTTTCAGTTGCCCTATTATTCCCTTCTCCTCTTTAGGGTTTTTTGAGTTAAAATGGTAAGAAACCAATTTTTTCAATTCATCTTGTCAGAATTGATGACTAAGTTTATCTTACACATACTTTGTAGGAAAATTTAAAAAGTATATTAATGACTTTTTATGTACTTTATGCCACTTGGAAAAATGCCATTTTCTGACGCAGCACAGTGAAATGAAATGCTTTCTATGCTCTTCATTCACTTTGAAAATGAAAGGCATTTTAAGGACATTATGACATTTTAGAGGACCATCCTGAAAACGAACTAATGAAACTAGTTCTACACTACATACATATAAAAGACAAATTTTTAAAAGCAAAAAAGAACTAAATCTATTGCTTCTCTAAGATTAAAATTATAACTTTAATTCTTATAAGTAATTTTCTTCATGGGCAAATGTAAATGCTAGCACTGAGCCATTTTCTTTTTTTTTTTCTTGGTCACCTTCATATTTTATTCTTCCTTTTTTTTCTGAGCTATTTTCTTACAGCACAAAACTGAAAACCTGACATTCACAGGGGTCTGACTCAGAGAAACACAAACATCTAATATGTATTCTGACCTCTTTCTATGAACAGAGAAAGAACTCCCTCTTTCATTAGGCCTTCCTAGATCGATAAAGACCACGCAATGGAGAATTAACACGTGTTAAACTTAGAACTCTAATGATTTATTTCTGTGATACTAACTATACAAGGAAACCTGATGGCAGCCCTAACAATCACAATGGCCAACAGAGAAGCAGCCGTTACCCTGATGCCAGGCAATGTCCGGAGCTCTTTTTCACGTGTTAGCACATCCAATGCTCATAATGTAACTTTAGGTTGCAAATCTGAATTAATTCAACAAATCCCATGACTTTTTTTAAGTTTAAAAAAAGTTCTTAGAATAATGATGAGCTCCTTCAGGAAAATGATTTCAGGATGTAAATAAATATTATATTTAATATCAAGCTGAAAACAACAGTCATTTTTTTCTTAAAGAGTAGATTATATGTTTAATATGTATAATTTCAAACCTAAGACTACTCTTCCTAATGAATTAAAAGTAAAATAAGTCACTACACAAAGCAGTGTTAAAATATCAGTAAAGGCATGACAAGGATCGAAACTGCAGCCGGTTAGTACACAGGACATAGACCATTGGATTGTTCCAGCCAGCCCTGTGATCAATACCAATTGACATGACTAAATTGATTTTGTAGCAAGGTGCTTTGATTGCTAATACTCATCATGTGGGCTGTGCTTCAGGGCCCCAGTGTCTTTGTGGACATGTCCAAAATCCTTCAGGATTGACCTCACATCACTAGTCAGTGCTCAGTGACCAATGCCCATGCATCAGATAGGGCTGGATTCTAGACCCACGGTTATTCCCCAAATAACCATGTGATAATGGAGCTTCATAACTTATTATTGATAATGCCCACAGTTAAAATTATGATATTCTTAAAATTATAACATTTCAAAGCATTAAAATTATTTAAAACCCCATACATTTTTCTAACATAATTTTCAAACAACACAACATGAAATTTTGTGTTTATGATTAGAGATTTTTTGAGAATCACAGTTCACTTAAATTCCTATCTAGCATACATGATTCTGACATTTGTAGGACATTCATCAGTTATTTTGAGGACATGAATCCAGTGGAAAATGTAGGAGTCAGGGCAACAATGGAGAAAGCATACCTCAGGTTTCTTTGTTATCGTGATAAAGAACATATGATTCTTCATTGGGTAAATAATGATCGAAACGTCTCCAAAGGCTGTTGGGATAATACCCCTGCGGTAGTCTCTGGAGTGTTCAGACCAGACGATGTGAACCTCGTCATTCCCCAGGTGACGGAGCTGCAATAGCAAATTGGCTCTTTATTAACCGAGGTGATAACAACAGTTTATGAGGGGCTGTGGCTTACAAATTGAATTAGAAAACTTGGAGGCCAAAAGTATTTTAGTCCTAAATCAGGCTACTGCACTGATGCCTTAAGTGAGAATTCTAAAATGTACAGTTTCATGAAACTCCAGCCCATCTGCTAGGATGCACATTTGGTTCTAAGATCACACACAGAAGCCCAAGGGCACATTCCAGTGGGATGGAGGGGGACCTCTCTGAGGTCTCCTTTTACACAGAATTCTATTTCTACATCAGTCCTACTCTACAGTGCTGAGAATGTTTCTCAACAACTAAATGACATTCATTTTTAAAATTTATTTACTACTTTAAATCTTTAAGCCTCTTTATCCAGTTGGCTACTAAGAAATAACAACATAAGGTAAGACAAGCTACTCCAACACAAGAGTTGACAAAGTGTGAGAACTGGTCTTGAGATAAATTTTTGAGAAAAAGAATATAAGAAATTATATTTTTAAGGAGATAAATAGATTTAATTTAAATTAAAAGTTAAATTTGGTGGGAATACTAGCACCCGGCATTTAAAGATTTCCAAAATGTTCACATAAAATGTCATTTACCCTTCCCACTGATTTTATGTAACTCCATCTTTATTATACAAGAAGTACCTGCTCAGGAATGTTCTGTCGAATGCACAGAACATCATAGGAGAGAGGACCAGAGACTGTGGCTTCAATTCATGACTATTTAAGCCAGGAACATCCAATCTGTGGACCACAGGCTATGAGAACACACACACACACACACACACACACACACAATACACTGAGACCCATACAATTGAGTTATAATAAATAAATAAAATCACACACACACACACAAACACATCTTATACTGTTATAAGTAAATTTACAGTTTTGAGTTGGGCTGCATTCATAAGCTATCTGGGGCTGCAAGTTGGACATTCCTGATCTCAGCTTACATCAAAAGCTATTTTACTGTTATAGCTCAAGTAATTTAGCTCACTTATTTTGATATTTTATAAATAAAGAGACTGACTAAAACCCAGACTCTTGGTGTCCCTGAGAAGGCCATAGGAAGATCTCTAGAGACACTTACAAGCTCTTCCAGAGGAAACCTTGCTAGATGCAAGAATATCACTGATCAACTGCCTGTGTGGCGACCCCACAAAGCTAATCTGGAGAAAGTTGCAACGAAATCATTCAAGAAGGCCTAGAAGCGTAACTAAAGGGAAAACAAACCACAGTGATGAAAACATTGGCCCAAACTGAAGTTCTGAAGCTGGAAAGACTGGCAGAACCAGGGGCTTAGAAGCCTTGGGGGGATGAGGTTTCTGCCTCGGATCAGGGAATGTTATCCAGCATCAGAAGCAAGAATTCTTGCTCATGCAACAGATGGACAGTGTAAGTGACCAAACTTAAAAGTACCTTAATAAAACTGAGATGTTATATTAGAGCATACGTTCTAGTTTTATCTTTAAAAATATAAAAAAATCATATTCTGGGATAGTGTGAATATTTGAAATACATTAGACTTCATTTTCTTTAGAGACCATTTGATCACACAGGGAAAAACCCACATTAACCCCAGCACGGCCTCTTTTCTCGTCATCCAGTTACAAAGGCAGCTGCTTGTTGCAGTGCCTGCTTCTTTTTCACCCGTGCCCTTCTGGAAGTGACTGTATCCATTAATTATTTAGAAAGAGACCTTTGTGCTATATGGAGTAAGGTATGGGATTCGACTCTGTCTGAATAGTGGCTCCAGAAAGGGGAGGCCCAGACTTCAGAGGCCTAGCACAAGTCATGATGATCCAGGACAACTGAATGGAGTCAATAACTTTGTAAATACAGGCATAACCCAGTGCATCTTTTTTCTTCTCCTCACTCCATCCTTACCCCGACACAAGTATTAAAGGCTCACAGGGCAGCAGGCAGACAAGGAAAAGCCGCAGCCCGGCCGACCCAGCACAGAAGCTTTGTGGTTTTTCTTTTTAAGGCACTAAACTCTCATGGTGGAAGGTGTCCCTCTAGCTGACCTTGTCTTCTCTTTTGTTCTTTCTGTAGTACTGGGAACTGAACCTAGAATCTTAGCTATGCAGTGCTCTACACTGCTACTCTCTGCCTTACATTCCAGCCACTCTTAGCTGACATTTCTGCCTGTTTGCGGTTCCCATTTCTTACAGAGCTTCCAGAGACCTCATGACACTCTTTTGCCACTTAGTCCTTTTGCAATGACAGCACGAGAGCTAGGGTTGCCAACAAGATAAGATGGACAGGTTTCCATTGTAAATGTAGATCTAATTGAAACTTTGGGAGGAATTTTGGGCAATAGGAGCTAACAGTTAAGAAATGAGTTATTCTGGAGTTCAGCTTACAGCCCCTATCCTACAAAGAGAGCTGGCCCTGTACTCTTGGTTATGATGTTGGCAGAAGTGACTGAATGGAGACAACCTACTTACCAAATATCAACCTTGCTGCTACCACCCAATGCCACACCCAATACCCATAGTCTCTCCTTTCATCCACAAGGGCAGAATAGACACTGAATGATACACTGATTATTGAAATTTTGCAGTTACTCTACTCCTTTCTAAACTGTGTTATTCAATTCTATATTCCCAGTAAACCCCTCCTAATTTTATTTGCAGCAGTATTTTGAGAAGACTTTAGCATGGGAGAGCAGTACCACACTGATTGACCCTTCCTCCCAATGTGGCAATTCTACAATTAAGGAAGAACTATTTTTGTAATATTCAACATTCTCTCAGGGCTGCTTTCAGTGTCAGGCACCTCATACTTCTGGACATGTTATAGTTTAATTAACTAAACCACAAAACCAAGAGCTTAGGCCATGGGACCAATTGACCGATACAACTACAACAAAGTACAAAAATTACACCTCTTGTGCCTATGATAAGAACTCAAGTATGTAAAACTGGTAGGACAACTACACACATTAGAGCATATTAGAACACAATGGAATAGTCCAGAAACATAAAGTGGTACTCAATTCAAAGGGAATTTCAATTTCAATGTAACTTTATGAGTTTTACAGAACTCTGATTAGAAGCCCTTAAAAATGCACCCACAAGTTTGCATAGGGGCAAGTCAACTTGACAGGAGGCATGTGTCTTCAGGAGGAGATGAGGGCTAGAATAGGAGTTGCATTCATGTGGGCTTCTGCTTCCACAATGCAAGACTCCAGAAGGCCTCAAGGCTTACTCTTCCCAGAACAAACAGGCTCTTGAGCCCCAAGAAATCAATCCCATGTCCTGCCATCCTTGGTCCTGACAGAGTTCTAAAGCTCCTCTGCCCGAGCTGTTCTGCCTGCTGCTGCCAGGCTACACGCCTGCACGCCACTGGTGACACCGGTCATGGTCCACACCTAATAGGCTGACCTCCTTTCCCGACTAATTGCATTACATCGCCAGCTGGCTCCAGAAGGAGTCGTCTGTTTGATTGAAGAATCCAGGCTCCTCAGTGGGCCCGGCTGCTACTTTTACTAAGTAACAGTCAGGCCTGACATTCCCATTGTTCAGCTGACAGTGTGCCCATCCTAAAATCTAAGTTTTATTTGTAAATTAACCAAGAAACTTCCTGCCAGAGCAGAGCTGCTTAGAGACTGATAATGTGGGCCTTTCATCCCCTTTCACTCGCACTGTATCACTGCCAATTTGTTTTTCATGTGGCTGGCCAGCCTGAGGCTATAAAAGCCTTGTAAGACATAAGTGCAATTATAGTCCTGGAGTCAAATGAATTGGACAAATCCAATAGCACAGCTCTGTCCCCACTCCGCAAACCCCTACAGCAGTTAGATTAGCTGTGAAAAATCTAATCTAGCTAGAGCTAACAAATTTCTGCAGTGAAGGATCAAGAGTTCAGTATGGGGTTGCAACGGGATTGCAGAATTGAAAAAGTCCCCCCATGACAAGGGCAGAACAGAGCATGAATCGCTTTAGAATTTTGCAGCTCATTTCTAAGCTGTTAGGGACAATTTAGTTAGAGTAAGTCAAGGAACCGGGGGCTGCGACGAATTTCCCTGCCTAACTAGGAGACATCCTGGTAAAGAGAGTTTATCGTTAATGATGCTAAATCTTAGCACTGCACAAGGTTTCAGCTGCTGTTTGGTTATTACAGTTGTGATCTAGACCAAGCCTCGGGACATAGCAGCATTATGTCAAGAAAACAGTATAAAAACAAACTTTAAAAAGCCTCTATATTTAAGAAATACTTCAAGACAGTTTAAATACAAATCTGTCTTTAACACATAATTGTCAGTCACAAAAATATGCAATATGACAATATGAAGAGTATGAAGACTTTACAAGGTACCCAAAATTAAAAAACAAAACAAAACATGTGAGTATAGCCCAACGAACCCAGATTCTGGAAGCTTCCAGATTCAGTGAGCTACCAGATAGCAGGGTCCTCCTTTCTATGAACACTGCAGTCAACAGAACCCAAGATGCACAGGCAGCTCTGTCATACCTGTGGGAACCAGCACATGGCTTGTACTCCCACTAGCTGTGAGGTTCCCAGCACAGGGAGGCCAGGGTACTATGCAGGGCTATGTGGGTGAAAGGCTGCTGAGTTTCTCTGAATGCAAATCGTGCTTTGTGCATCTGAGACACTTGATCACTATGGAAATTGTCTGTGACCCGAGTTCTGATAATGTCTCACAAGCACTGTTGTTCATCATGTATGCAGTCCAGACATCTAAGGCCCAGTGGTAAAAAGGCAAAATCAGAGACAAAAGAAATGAAGCAGATAGAGTAGGGTCCATGAGCTAGTATTAAACATCTGGCTAATGGAACAGGGAAAAAGAACCAATTACACCACTGGACAGTGACAAGGGTGATGGCCAGAGAATGCCTACTAAGTATCATACTAAGCAGTTTTTCAAGCACCATCTCACTTGACTCAACAGTATGGTGCCATGACTCATTTTCAGTCTTATTTAATACATGAAAAACTGAGGTACAAGCTGGTAGTGAGACACACACTTGAGCCTAGATCTGTCTGGCCCTAGTTCCAACCATATCGCCACACTCACAGTGCACAGCCTCAGTCAGCACTTGAGGCACTGCCCTCAGTTCCTTACATTTGAGCTGTTGGAGGAGAGTGGGTGTGAAGTGGGAACGTAGGCTCTGTCGCCTACTAGTCCACAGGGTCAGCACATGTCGCCATAGCTCTAGGATGCCCCTCTCACCTAGAAACATACAGGAGTGGTTTCCTTACCAAACTACAGTTTTCTCCCATTAATGAGTTCCTCACCAAAAAACAGGGCCCCTCAAGTAAACACTCTGCAGGCTGGGGAGTTCCTCTGGGGGCATAAGGTTTTCCTTTGAACTTCAGCAGAAACCACCCACAGGGTGAAAGGTGAGGAAGAACAAAGGGGAAGCAGCCAAGATAGGACATCTGGGCAGCAACACATCTGCAGGTCACGTTGTCAAAATCTAGTAGCTTACCCTAGCAACACTGGGGTGTGGGGAGGGTGCCTTCCCAGAGCTTTCCCAGCACTTCTGTCATAAAGGCCACTATGTGCTGTGCCATTTGCCAGTCTGAGGTAAAACTATTTTCTCTCAGGTAACTGATGTGAAGGAAGAGCCAATGTAGCCACACTGCAAATCCTTCTTCCAAATATATTTCCTTCTGATTTCAAATAAATACAATTTATACAAAATTAAAATTTTAAAGAAAGAAATGAAGAACAGCAAGAATGAAACTGGTCTGCAACCCTATTCATATGAAAACCACTATGAAAATTTAAGGACTGTCTGCCCCAGCAGGACAGTGCTTGCCTGGCACGTGCAAGGCCTGGCTTTGGTCCCCAGCATGTGCAGAAGCATATACAGACATAAAACCCAAACCACCAAAAAACCTTTCAGCTCTCCCCTTGATTTTTGGGAGTACATTTCTCCTTCAGTTCAGGGTTTAAGGTGTTGATAAGTTGACGTTTTAGATCCAACACAACTGTGGGTGGAGGAAGAGTGACCCTGACTTTGAGGTCTGGGGAAAGCAGCCTCAGTGTGGCCATGGTTGGTCACCATCCAAACCCAGAGAGCCTCGCATGCACATGAGTGCACGGAGCTGCTGTCCCCAAGGAATCGTCTTACCTTTTTGGTGAGTGAATCATCTGAATCTGACGGCATCCGAGTGGAAACGTGGAAAATGACTTCCACAGTTGAGGTAGCATAGTAAGGGGCCGTCTGTCCCGTGCTGCCATTGCGCTGAAGACCACCCATGAACCCACAGTGGGTTGAGAGATCCACCTGATGAAGGTCACAGAGCAAAAGGCGAGGGTCAAAAGGGAGCTGTTCTATTCATTAGGCAGGAATATGAGTTGAAAACATGAATTGTTTTTATTTTAATATATTTCCTTCTGAATACAAATAAATACAATTTATACAAAATTAAAATTTTAAAGAAAGAAATGAAGAACAGCAAAAATGAAACTGGTCTGCAACCCTATTCATATGAAAACCACTATGAAAATTTAAGGACTGTCTGCCCCAGCAGGACAGTGCTTGCCTGGCACGTGCAAGGCCTGGCTTTGGTCCCCAGCATGTGCTGGAGCATATACAGACATAAAACCCAAACCACTAAAACCCCCTCAGTCCTCCCCTTGACTTTCAGTGTACGTTTCTCTAACTACTCCCCCTCATGTCTAGGGTATGTCCATGTCTGCATGTATCTGTACAGCAGATCCCTCTTATCTGTGGGGGCTTGTCGCAACATTTTCAGTAGTTACCTACAACCACAAATAGTACTGTGTTTGTTCTCTCTACATAGACCTACAATAAAGAGACACCGTAAAGTGTTTTCAATAAGTGAAGAGGTTAATGTACAGAGGAATACATTTGAAAGAGACACCACATTCGTCTAACTCTTATTACATCAGACTGATAGATTTGTTCTTTTTTAGTTGTGGCCACATTTGTCTACTTTTGCCACAAACTGCCACCCATGGCTAGCTCAGCCCATTTGACTATTCAGTTCTGATGCAAAGCAAATGAAAAGATAGTAAGAAGAAGCATAAGTTCACAGATAAATAGACTACTGAAAATAAGCCAACAGATTTTAAATTTTAAGGTCAATATCTTCTTCAAGAACTCTATGCATACTACATCTGAATGTAAAAATATACCTAAGAACCTACACAACTCAGGTCTGCTTTACATACTTAGAGTCAGCAACAACACAATGAATGAGGTTAATTACCTCCCATCCAAGACCAGCAACAAAGTCTTCATATGCTTGGCTTCCTCTTTCATTGGCTAAGATGGAACACTTGTCTTCTTGACCTTCAGCAATGTAAAACACTGCTATCTTGTGTGTCTCGCGGCTATAAATGTTCAAATTTAAGGGAGTTAGAATTGATAATTATATGTATATATATATATGTGTATGTCTATATGTATGTATGTATGTATTACTGTTACTGCCAGCATGATTCCTAATGGCCCTCACTAGGGGTCAGTCACTATTCAAAGGTGGTTGGTGTATGACTTTATTTGCGTTTGGAAGTCCCCTAATAGACTAGTGTTATTACTGTATCATCTGTTTTGCAGAGGTGGTTGAAAGGAGACAAAGGTTAATGAAGCAGGAGACTACAACTCAGACATAGAGACACAAAAATAGCAGATATCAGAGCTCATCATCCACCAGGTTCTTCCCATGTTGGTAAAGAACATTATCTTCTAAAGCAATGGTTCTCAACCTGTGGATCTTGACGCCTTTGGGATCAAATGATCACGGGTGTTGCATATCAGATATCCAGCATATCAGATATCTACAGTCCGATTCATAACAGTAGCAAAATTACAGTTATGAAGTAGCAACAAAATAGTTTTACGGTTGGGGGGGTCACCACAACATGAGAAACTGTATTAAAGAATCACAGCATTAGAAAGGTTGAGAACCACTATTCTAAAGCATTTCAAGTAGACACGTATCATACATAACTAGGTATCTACCTACATTTCATTTTCTCTACTTCGAGGAAAGGATATGGGTAGTTTCAAGACAGGAGCAATGAGACATGCTAAGATGTTATGAGAAATGGCAACATTTTTGGGTATTTTCTTTGTGAAAGGATGTGTTCTATTCTGAGGGCACCAAATGTACTGGACAGTTGTTCTAGGAAGATTTCTTTGGATATATAAACTCTTCATTTGATGCTCCATGATAGATTGGTGGCAGTTTCCTGTTAAATCATATAAACATGATATGCTTTTTGAAGAAAGGAGACCTGTTTGTTTGTCTTCCTTTTTTTTCCCTTCACATTCAGTATAGTATTTGATATAGTATAGTATAGTACAGGCTCAGCTAAGTCTCTGTTAAACTCGCCAGATATAAGGCAGTGTATCTGAATATGTAATTGCTAGTTTCTACAAATGGTATGGTAAAGTATCAAAATAACTGGCGATCTATCAAGAAATTTGGTGATGGTTTGGAGATAAAAGCTCAGCTGTTGTTCAGATGAAGGAAGCTTAATAAAGAACCACTTATTGGACAGCACCATTGTCCATAAGCTTTATTTTATCATAGCTTCAATGGTAAAAGAAGTACATCTCCACTTCTGGGCAGCCCCACCCTTTTCACATTTGCATTACATCATGCAAAACTGCATAGGAAAAAGCATCAAGTGCTTCAACAATACGGAAATGTTTCTATTGTCTAATTGTTTAATATCTCAACACTGTAATATGATTAGACATTCAAATTGGTAGATCTGGACTCCATATTTTAACAAATTCTCAAATATTTCCTTCTTCATGATTATTTTTCTTCTTATAAACATGGCTAATTGAAGCTCAACTAAAAAGTTGCATAAATTACAGGAGGGGGAGCATTTTCTCCTACTCATTTGCTAGCTATTCATCCCCCGACATTCTCATGGAATAAGTATATATGAAGAAGAATCAGAAAATACAGAAAGAGCAGAAAGATTGGCTGATCACAGGAGCTGTAATAATTTGGCAGCTTAGATGATGGTAGCAGACATTCTAACCTTTATCTAAAAGGCTGTTTCAAAAAGAACAAAAGCACAGAAGCAGTTACTTGATTTCTTCCTGAAACCCTCTCTCTACATATGTAAACGTCCTTAGCATTCAATTTTTTTCCGTTCTATAGCCTTGCTAGACAAAAAACAACCTCAGGCTTATCTGAAATACATCAGTGTTTTATCCTTAAAGCCCAGGATTTTTCCATCCTGGGTCCTTGAGTCCTCATTTACTCGGTTAGGAGCATAGAGGGCTAAGCTCCAATGAAGGACTGACTGATGTGGGTGTGAGGAAAGGTGACCTTTAGTTGTAAACATTCATCAAATTTCACATCCTCTAAAATACTAGCACTGCAGAGAGTCTGCTAAGATGCAGACACTGTGCCTGGCCTTATTAGTGCCAGGCTTTTGAAATGGTAATTACAACATCAACAGCACTTCATATCTACAAGCTGCACAACCAGTACATGAAGGAGCAGGTAATTCAGGAACACACATACATAAAATCAACAACAAGGCTTTCCTCATTAGAATGGATTTTTTTATTTCTTATTAGGAACAGACCAGAGTAGTTCCATTTTCTTGTGCTGTCAGGTTTTAAAAAAACCAAACAAAGGAAAACATGACTTTACCATTTCCTTCACCACACAGTGGCAAGAAAGACTACAGTGATTTGTATGTCCAACCATCAGACACAGTATAAAGAACCTAGCTGCAAGACTATTTTTCTCAAAACATGCGAAGAACGCACTGTTTCCCCACAACAGTGTTATAAATTGATACCGGGAGTAAATAGAAAGGTCCTGAAAGTTGAAAGACAAGGTTTGTTCTTGCTTAGCATAGACCAATCTATAGCACAGGCTAGATTTCTCACAGGTAAAGAGCCACCAGACTTAGTTCAGGGTTTTAAAAGGCAATCTTAAAAAATACCCTTTCCCATGAAATGAATTGATATGCATTTAGAGGCTAAGATGACCTAAGTCCAAGAGTTAGGGTTTTAAGTGAAGGTTAATCAAAGGGCAGAAGACTGCCAATCAGCTACCCAAAGCCATATTTTACTGCAACAGCACCCCAGGGAGCTAATTCAACTGCACCTCATGCAACTAGAGTGCATTAACATTCAACAAATTGGCTACAATTACAAGATACCAGTGCATTCACTTAGCACTGGAGAAGTAGGGAATAATTCAGCATATGCTGGAAAGCTGGGCTCGGGGTCCAAATGACTGTTTAACATGGAAGGATGAGAGTGAGTGAAACAAGTGCCCGAGCCCTGCAGAAATCTCGCATGGAATTTCCAGAGGGCCCAGTCTCTGTCCTGGAGAAAGCAAGAAGAGAAAGACTGAACAGAGAAATGATAGGGTCTAAAGCACTTTTAAACATTTTTGAAATTCAAATTAAGCTTTACTTGAATCAAGAAATGAAAACATTTAAAGTACCAATGGAGTCGCAGGATCTGCCCAAAGGATGGTTTCTTTCTTCAATTACAACCACAAATGAATCATTTAAACTTGCATATTTTCTTTTCTTTGGATTTTATTTCTTGATACTAAATGCTTACCACTTGCAGAGCACTGGGGTTACCAGGAGGTAAGCACTTCACATCAACCTTCTGCAGGTGGAGTCAGGCTCACTACAGCCACCCTGGCACATTCCCAATACTCAGAAAACATACAAGTACATACTTCAACATGTGTATGGCTCTAAGAAGCCATGAATGACAAGAAAGATACATGGGAGAGTAAAAAAAAAACTATAGCCTTTTGATTCCTGTACAATGGCCCATATAAATTAATGTATCTTATTCTAAATGCTTCTGGAGGAGCGAAAGGATAAGTAAGCTTACTATGATTCTATCCAGTGAGTCCTCAGAGAGAGACCAGGAGGGAAACACTCTTGGTAGGCAGAGAGAGAAGCAAGTTAACAAAGGTAGTGCATGTCTAAGATGGGCAGCTTCTTCCTCAACCTCCTGACCAGAGACAAAAGCCTGGCACCGGTCTCCCATCAGGCCCATTACTGATGGGCTGGCTCATCAAGTTCAAGGCTGGATCAGGACATGCCACAGAGCAGTTGTGGACCAATCAACTCTCCTGTCTACCTTCAAATTCCCAACCCTAAAGGAGGGAAGAAAACTCAAGGCTTTAAAACCCCAAGACCTCAAGAAGATACTGGATTTTCAGCTTCCATGTACACCTTCTATTTTGCAGAGGATCTTTTTCTTTCTGTAGTCTCTGCATGTTTGGTGCATGTGTGTGTTTCCTTACCTCCAATGAATGGTTTTCTTCAATTGCTGATTTTTGTCTGCAGTGTTTGAAATTTTTCTGCTAACACCTGTTGTGGTTAAGATTGTGCCTGCTTTTTAATTCTTTAACTAACAGAGAAAATGAACCAACCAAGACCCCTAGACTGTGTCATTTGTGTTGTGACAAAGATATTTCTTCATTAAGTCCTCATAAAGGTAAGTGTGTGTGTGTGTGTGTGTGTGTGTGTGTGTGTGTGTGTGTATGCACGCACACATGTGCATGTAAACATATGCTTTTCCAATTTCAGGTGGAGTTTACTAGTTGCTATTGTCATACCTAGGTTCAAGAATTCAAACCACCCACAAAATATCGCAATTATAAACCTGATATGCAAATAACAGTGACAGAAGTCAAGCATTTACTTAAGAATAAACAATAAAACCATAAGAAATCCACTTGAACACAAATGATAGTGAAATGCACGCTTAGAAAACAGCATGGTACTGACACAAAAACATGCAGGCTGATGGATGAGAACCCAAAATAAACCCATTTAGTTGCAACCAATTAATTTTTGACAATGATGCCAAACATACACGAGGGAGAAAACCAGTCTATTAACATGTAGAAAAATGAAATTAGATCCCCATCTCTCACCCTATATAAAAATTAATTCAAGATGGACTGAAGACTACATTTTAGATGGAAGTTGCCAGAGAAAAACAGGGAAAATAGTTCAAGACAAAAGAAGAGACAGGGATTTTCTAATAGCGGAGGAAATAATTCCAAGGACTAGCAAATGGGATTCTATAAAATCCAAAGGCTTTTGCACAGCAAGAGAAAAAAATAATCACCGCCCTAAAGAGAGAGCTACAGAATGAGAAGAACAAACTTTTACAGCTAAAGTTATACAGGGCCTAAAAACAGAATATGTAAAGAACTACTAAATTAAACATCAAGTCCCAAATCAACAAATAGTTTAATGAACAGGGTAGTTCTTAAAAGAAGAAATACAATTGGCCTCTAAATAAGTTAAGTATCTAACATCTTTAGCCACAAAGAAATGTCAATTAAAACTGCCTTAAGATTCTACCTCACCTTGGTCACAATGGCTATCATCAAGAAAATAAATGCAGGGTAAGATGTCAGGGTTGGGGATGATTTATTCATTGTTGGTGGGAATATACAGTACACCCACTGTAGAAATCACTTCAAAATGGTCACCCTTAAACACAAATACATATAAACAACAGCAAGTAGACTCAGTACATTGCACGCCTGCATGTATGTATACACACATATACATGAAAGAAAAATGTAGTGAATTAAATACCACGAGAAGAACTTTATCTAAGAACACACACACACACACACACACACACACACACACACACACACTCACACACCAGGAACAATTAATGAAAAAGAGGTCATGAAGTTAAAAGAGAACAAGATATGGGAGGTTTTTTTTTTATATTAAAGAAAGCCTACTATCCCAGCTACTTGGAGACTGAGGCAGGAGGATTACATATTCAAGGTCTACCTGGGCTACGAGAGTATGTTGAAGACCAGCCTGGGAAACTTGAAAGAGTCACTGTCTCAAAAACAAAATAAAAAAAAAATGCCAATGTTCAGTCAAGGTCAACATCAGCAGATTCTGGGCTATAGAGATATTCTGGTGTCTCTGCAGGTCCCTTCTTACCCGAAACTGTATTTGATACTACAAGCTCACAAAGACAGACAGGGAAAGATATTTTAGTATTCTTTCACATACCACTGACGTGAGTCCAGATTCTTTAGCTCTCGCAATAATTTTGAATTTTTCTTCAACAAATGAAAATTCTTTCTACAAAGAAAAAAAAAAGGATGGAAGAAGAGATCCATGTGACCACAGACTAACTTCGCTATTTTCTAATCCAGTAACAAATATAGCCATTATGGTAGTTCAAATAGGAATGGCCACCATAGGCTCAAGGGAATGGCACTATGAAGAGGTGTGTCCTTGTTGGGGTAGGTGTGGGCTTGTTGAAGCAAGTGTGTAACTGAGGGTGGGCTTTGGGATTTAGAAGCTCAAGCCAGGCCCAGTGTCTCTCACTTCCTGCTGCCTGAGGCTCCAGATGTAGGACTCTCAGCTACCTCTCCAGCACCATGTCTACCTGTGTGCCATCATGCTTCCCATCAGGGCAACAATGGACTAAAACCTCTGAACCTGTAAGCCAGCTCAAATTAAATGCTTTCCTTTATAAGAGTTGCCATGGCCATGGTCTCTCTTCACAGAATAGTAACTGTAACTAAGATGGCCATCATCCATCCATCTAATATCACATTCACTGAAAAACTGTGGTAGATATCGTAGTTTGAATGAGATGTCCCCCACATTCTGGGACATTTGAAATGGGTTCCCCAGTTGGTGGGTTTGTTTAGGTATGTTTAGGAGATGTGGCCTTGCTGGAGGGAGTATACTACTAGGAGCAGATATTGAGATTTCAAAAGTCATGTGACATTTCCAGTTATCAATTAGATATGAGTTCTCAGCTGTTGTCCAGCTGTCATGGCTGCCACCTGTTGTTCCTGCCATTATGGACTCTAAGCATCTGGAACCATATGTCCAAAATAAACTCTGTCTTTTATAAGCTGCCTTGCTCATAGTGTTTTATTACAGCAAAAGAAAAGTAACTAATTCACAAGTCTTCAAAATGAGCTCCAATATCCTTGAGTATGGAGAGACATAACAATCTCATTATAACCCATTGCCTTATAGTGACACTGGAAAGCTCTACAGTTAGCAGTATGTCCCTTGTGTGCATGTGCTTGTGCCTATTCTCAATGTCAGCTCTGGGAATCTCTTCCCTATCCTATCTTTAAAACTCCACTTCACTATCAGGTTCAGCTCAACCCCACTCTCTTCTCTGAGGTCGCCAGCACTGCCCACACTGCCCACTGGATCAAATTGCTCCTCTTGGCCTTCTGTGCCACTCTGTCCTTTGTCTGATGTGCATCCAGTTCACATTCCTCATCAATCCTGTGGCTAGACAGTGGTTTACTCACCTTTGCAGTCCATTTGTATCTTCTATGAAAATGGAAATAGTAGTGGTCAGGGTCACAGGAAGCAAAACAATGCTTCATATGCTTTCAAAGGACTGACAGGCATTTGAAATTTAATCTGTATACCAGTATAGTACATTCAGTTTTATTTTTAGCTCTAATCCAGTAGCTAAAAATAATCTGTAAATATTGAAATCTGATTAAAAAACCTTCTACTTCTTATTTTTTAACTTCAAACTTTGATATAAAGAAGAACCCTCATATAGCAATAATGATAGAACATTCAGAGCACTGTTACCTTCTGTCCCAGGAATTCATTCCCAGGTCATCAAGCAACAACCTGCAGAAATAAAAGGGTCCTCGAGGCTCCACTGGTGAGGGCTGCCCTTGGCTGGTGACCTTCACTGCAGAATTAGAGTTACACCTCTGAACATACTCATCTTCCTGTATGCTCTGGCGCAGGATGACCTCAATGATTTCCTTCTCTTGGTCACAGTTCATCCCACATGGGGGTGGGGATGGCTCATTGAGATTTAGTTGTGATGGTAAAAGGCATTCAGGGCTTGTATGGCCAATGTTTTCAAGTAGTTTATCAAGTGCATCATCTCCCTCCTCACTGTGAGACAAATCTTTCTGAGGTCCGCATGTGTGTTGATGCCAGCCAGAAACTGGAAATGAGGGATTCCTTCCACTGGGTGCCAAGCAGCCTTCCAGAGGTCCATATAAAACCTTGCCATCCCAAGAGTACTTGCCTGAGATATCCCTCACAATGACTCTTACATCTGAAAGGGAAGCCCCTGAAGTCCCTCCATCTGGTCCTTCTGCAGGTGTCTGAAGGTAGGAGATAAGGGTGCTATCATTAAATACGAAGAGCTGCAGGTTTGGGCTCCTGAACACCTCCGAGGATAGCTCAGCACCTTCCACGTGGGCATTGTCATGGTTCTCACTGACCAGGCTGTGCAGCATGGCAGGGCCCCCACTCAGTGGATAGTGGCCTAGGTGGTTCACTAGGTGGGCCATCACCATCCGTGCAGTAAGGGGGATCAATTCCACACTTCTTCTCTTCTTCTCTGTGAACAGCAGGAAGAAAATGTGAGCAGATAGTGGGGCCACCACGAGATTTCTGTCAATAGTTTAAATGTTTGATTCTGATTTTTTGTTTTGTTTGTTTTGGGAGAAAGGGTGTCACTGTGTAGCACTGGCTGGCCTGGAACTCATAGAGATCCACTTGCCTCTGCTGAGATTAAAAATGATTAAACATTACAACCAGCTGAATGTTTGATTTTTAGCTGTAAGATTGTTTTTTTCATTTTGACACTAATTCTATTTAAATTATTAAATTAAGAAGATAACTGAAACAGACTGCTAAAGAACCAACTTACATGAAGCTATCACTCTGAAAGGGACTTTAGAAAGTCTGCAGATAAAGGAATGAGCAGAAGAGAAGCATCCCCATGTTAGACAGATAAAGGTTCGAGGGCTCAGATGAGGGTAAAAACCAGGTTGGAGGGGCAGCTGGGATCAGAGAGTTGGCTGGGGAGGTTACTGTGGCACCCCTCTGCTGGGTGAAGGAAGACCTAAGAAGGACATTAATAAACCTCAGGGCCATGTTTAAAGATTGGAAGAAATTTGTTTAATAATCATTGTGACAATTTATGTTTTGTTATTAGGGCACTTAAAATATTTAAGAGAATTTGTCATATTCATAAATCATGGAGGCACTTAGAAGAACTTAACTAAATTTGTACTTGATGATTTAGTATCCAAGAGCAACTGATTTATAAAACTTCAACAGTATGTGAAGACTCTGAGCACAGCCTGAGCAGCAGGGCTTTACAGAAGGAGGTGGATTGGAAAGGCAGACACACTAAGGCTGTAACTAGAAAGGGAAATGAGTGCTTCAGGCTAAGGGTAGTTGAGGAAATATCAATGTGCCAAGTTCATCAAACGTGATGTATCAATTTGATAACAACTGAAAATGAAAGTTTTAAAATTTTGTGGGAAAAGGTCTAAATATTTAAATTAAGGTTTATAATTTGAGCAAAGAGTATTAGGCTTCTAAAATCACAATGTGAACAATCAAATATTAGCACATAAATCAACATAAATATATAACTTTATAATAAATATACAAATATATATATATATATTACCTTTAGTGTTAGACATTACCCAACCAGTTTACACATAACATAGTGTTTTATTCTATATAAAAACCCTAGAAAGAAACAAATCTCTGAAATTTGGGGAATTCTGAGCAATGAGTAAGAACAAGATCACCTTGATTTATTTTGGATTTCTTATCAATTTTTTTCTTTGTACATGAAATCTATACTGAATAATGGAAAATAAAATGTCACACAAGTGGTCATTTATGTCTCTTCCTAAACTTAAATTTTTTTCCCACAACCTAAGAGAAATATATGGAAGAGTTCTACACTACAAAGAAATTTAATGCTCCAGCTATGAAATGTTACTGCCCCAGAGACCCACATGAAACCAGCTGGGAGTTCACAGTTCATAATGTGAAACACGCCGTTGTCATGACAGCAGGACAGGCATAAAACTAACGATAAAGGTACAAGATGACAAAGGGCCAAGCAGAAAATATCAGTTGGAAAACCAACTCCCTCTGCTTTTGCTCACAGAGGCTGTGCTTTTGGTTTGTATTTTGTGAATATTTGAATTCTACAATGGGAGAATGTCTTCGAGTAGTATCAAACTATGGCATGATGACACTTTGAATAAAACCCCAAATGGGTCTGGTACTGAAGTCAGGAAAAGGAGCATCTGTGAACCACTGACCTCTCCTCCTGCTACATTTCAGCTAAGTTCACTTCCTTTATGTTCACTAAGAACTGAAGATGATTGGGATTCAACTAGTGACAAAGTCTGCTCAGGGCTTCCACAAACTACTAAAAAGAAAAGGATTCCAAGTATCTTCTTGCCCCCAAATTCCTAGAGGAAATACGAAGCTTTACCTCTCACCTCCTGAAGCCCCATTTCCTTCTGTTTTAAGTAGTTATTAACATTGATCAATCTGAGCGCAGACTTGTCTGCCACAGAAACCATCCCGAGCAGGGTAAGAAAGCTCCCAGCTTTTGTCATGAGGGGCTTCTGCGCTGGAATACTCTATGAGCTCCTTCAAAGCCTGCCCTCCCTGCTCTGTCTAGCTTAATTCTTCCCTATTGGAAATCCTAAGGATGCTACTAGCCCAGTATCATCCTATCTCCTCCACCAGATGTAAAACTTCGTGGGGATGGAAAAATGAGCCTGGTTTTTTTGCATTCCACAGGTATGAGACAAGACTTTTCAGTAATACAAAACCATTTAAATAAGGATGGATGAAAAAGACAGGAGGAAAAACAACAGGAAAAACGAAGAAACTGAAAAGGTTTGCCATCAGAGACCCTATAAGCTGGGACTTCAACAAGTAGATTTAAAAAAAAAAACTAAAACACAAGCACAGACCAGACTACAATCTTATCTCTTACTGCCCATAAGACTGTATATTTGTAGACATACGCACCATCTTCCACAGTGAGCAGGTTCCCCAGGTCTGCCGATGAATGGTACTGGACTGGCTCGGAGTTCCTCACATTTGCCAGAGGCAGGAAAGGGTCATAATCCGTGGATGACAAGTCAGCCAAGGTCAGAGTGTAGTGACTTTGCTGTGTGTATGTGCTTGAGCCACAGACACAGCAGTGCAGAACCTGAGGACAGACAGGAATGGCACTCAGTCTGCCACCACCTCCTGATCCCTGACAAACTACCCAGCCCCCACAGTGCTTGAGAGCTACGACTCCCACTTAGGAACATGTCAAAATATGAGGGATTTTTTCCATTCTCAAATATTTTTTGCTACAAGCAAATCAGTAACAATACCTACAATTTCAGGGCAAACGGAAAACACAAGTGAAAAGGTTCTGTTCCTGTATGATTGCACCTCAGCCTGTCATCCTCCAAAGGCAGCATAGGTGGAAGGAATCAGCCCAAGAGATGAAAGACAGCTGTGGGAAGGCCCTCATGGTAGAGGGCAAGGTGACCACAACCTGAGTTTAAATCAGTACAACACATGAACCTAAGAATTATAAGGGGTAATTTAATACAATTTTGAAAGCATAATTAAATAAAAGAAAATTGAATACAGATTTTAAAGTCTCTCTTACAAAGTGAGATTTCTTAACTCCAATCCTAAGGATTTTTTCCCCTTGGTGTTCTTTCAGTTTTGTTTTGGTCCTGATTTTGAGACAGGGTTTCATTATGTAGCTTAGATTGCCTTGAACTCAAGGCAATCCTTTTGCCCCCATGCTCCCAACCGCAGGGATTACAAGTATGCACCACCACACCTGACTATTGAGGTTTCTTTAAGGCAAACAAAGAGATTACTAGAAGCATTATGGTTTTTTTTCCTTACTCTGATAAACAGATCTTTAGATGCTGCAGATCCTCCTTCAATATAAACAATCCATTTTGAAATTAAGTAGGCAGAAATCATGTGCTATGAAGATTGGGAGCACTCTGATCAAACAGCAGTTGTTTAAAGATGACAGTCATGTGAAATATATGCACCTCCACCTCGGCAACTACTGGCTTTCTACAACTGTATCTATTCTGTTTATTCATTAATTATTCATTACTTTTCAAATACTTAACCTTCCGCAGGTCCTTTTCAGAAGGTACAAATACATAAATGATAACATTTTGGTAATTTTTAATCTGTAGGTTCACTGTATGTGCCCAGGGCTTACAGGAGACTCACCCTGTATATATAATCCAGTAAGGGAGCCCGGGGTGGGTGCAGCTCCTCCAGGACCGCCGTGGACACAGGGTGGAGAAGGGCATTCACAGGCAGCGCCATGCACCAGTCCAAGAGGCAGAGGAGCAAGGACACAATAAACTGGAGAAACATATCCAGAATCTCACTTTATGGCCCTTAGGACCCATGCCATGTAAAAATAAAAAGAACTGTCCCTGCTCAATGGACACACAAATGCAGGGTAAGTAAGTAAACAAAAATAGCTTTCATAGGAAAAAACATAAAAGCCAATATATAAGATATAATAAATGACACCATCATTTGTAGTACTAGTTATCATTCTGTCTTATACTTAAAAATAACTGTGGAGAAAGCTACCCAACATGTCACTTACCTTTTTATCTGTTTCCACTGAGGAGTACTCAGCACTTGGTAAAAGAAATGCTATTGTGGCCACAAGGATCTGTATAAAAGATAAAACCCAATTAAACAGACCATGATAGTCTGGAAACTGTATGTTAAGAATTCCAAGATGACTTTGCTGTAGACGGAAGTTTCTGTACTGCCAGGTCCCGCAGTCATTCAGTCCCAAAGAAATACACAGAGGCTTACATTAATTATAAACTGGTTGACCTATTAGCTCAGGCTTACTATTAACTAGCTCTGACAATTAAATTAACCCATAACTCTTGTCTATGTTTAGCCATGTGGCTGGATACCTTTTCTCAGTAAGGCATTCTCATCTTGCTTCCTCTGCATCTGGCTGGTGACTGACTGCCTTTCCTCTTCCCAGAATTCTCTTAGTCTGGCCGCCTTGGCTACACTTTCTGCCTGGCTACTGGTCAATCAGCATTTTATTACACTAATACAAGCGGCAAATCTTTACGTTGTACCTTGCAACTAAAGACAGCATGGTACTTACTCACTGGATGGCAACAGAATGCTGAAAGTCAGTTGTAGGAAATTTGAAAATAATGATCATGTAATGATTTCTACTTTTTGGTGGGAGACTCAAAACAAGGATTATTTCACTCTATAGTCAAACAGTATCTACTATTAGTCCCACATTTCCAGTGAAGTGAAAAAAAAGTTTTCAAAAATAATTATGAAAAGGTTTCATTTGCTATAGCATAGGTCTCCACCTCCTGTTTCCACATCACAGTATGCCATTCATTCTCACAGGTATCCTGTTTGGATAATTACATGGTGACACTAAACTCAACTTTAAATTCTTTCTGCAGCAGGGTAAAAGGTCTATTTCATTCCAGGTCACATCAGGTCAAAAACCACTTGTAACTTGATGTGATTCTGAGAGAACAAAGTGATCCCCACCAAAGCAGTCTGTCTAGGGCTGGGAGAAAATGAATCTGCATCACCTATTCTCTCTCCCTGCCAACTGTCAGGGGGACAAATCAAATTTCCTCAGAGTCTTCACTGGACGGGTAAAAAACAGGGCTTGCTTGAATAACTACAGTTATAAAAACTGCCAGGCACAAGTGTGCCTTATCACAGGCTCCTGTGAGCTAGGCCCTGCTAGGCTCTCAGCAAAGACCCCTTGGCTGTAGCCAACCTTCAAGAAGCTGTGGTTGAGTACTTCCTGTTCCTCTTCGCCTGGCCACCTCCCCTCAGAGGTTAATACTACACTGATCTCATTACAGCCTAGTAGCCATGCCACAGCAGCAAACGTGCCCCAGGGCTTTAGTCTGGGAACAACTCCTGCTTTACACAACAACCAGGCCCCCGCCCTGCAAGAAAGGCATTAAACCAGCTGCCTACTCCTTGTTGGCACCATCCAAATTACTTTCAATGAATAAAGCCCAACCTACAAAAGGTCTCTTTGTTGTGGTTGTGTCTGCCTTTCAAACTCTCCAAGCATCAGCCTCGGCTCTGGAACACTGCAGGCTTCTTTGCACAGTGATTAAAATTGCAGCTGAGAAGAGCCAGCCAACACTGCCTAAAAACGGGGCTCACATGGCAGTTTAATAGTTGCTTCTCTAACAATTATTTGAGGATATACAGTTAATTAGATATCAAATACATTATTAAAAAGGAAATGCGGATGCTTTAGCTTTATAGATAAAGGACTTACTTCGGCCATTTTTCGCGGTAGAGCAGTTTCAAACATCTGAAGCTTTTCCCAGTAGGAAACCAGCAGCTGAAGAACATCACAGGCTACCTGAGCCACAATCTTGTTAGGAAACTACAAAAAACCCAAAAACACCCAAGTAAGCAGGGCAGCTCAGCAGGTGTATGTTCTGGAGGAAGAACAGGGCTGCTTGCTCTTCCCAGCTCTATACGCACATCTCATGTGCAACTGATGAAAACTATGTCCAATTAACATCATTTTGCACATGACCACTCCATCATGCTACATTGATGATTATTTGGAATCACCTACATGCCTTATATATCTGTAGAAAAAGGTGGTCATTGTTTGCCTAGAAAATAAAAGACAAAGTTTAAAATTCTGTATTCAGCTAATAGAAATCATACTACTGACAACTTGAGGAAATTAAAGTAAGAGTACATGGTGAGTGTCCTCTGTGTGCTGAACCTTCTGCACAAATGAAACTCATTTGTCATTGACAAATCACCATTGACAGTTCTGTAAGGAAGAAGCTATCTTCATTTCACACACAGAGAAACAGGGATCATTCAAGTGACTTCCTACCTGAGAAAATAAAATAGTATACATATAACATACTAAGAAACATGTAAAAGCACACTTAAAGGATATAACCCATAAGCTAGGTTATGTTCAGTGACTCTGGGTGTGTTTCCAAAGTTGTCTCTGGTGGCTTGAATGAAAATGACCCTCATAGGCTAATATATGCTTCAGTCAGTAAAACTGGAAAGGCAGAATCATCTATACCTTGACACCAGACACAGAGCTACAGGATTTGAAGTTTGCTCAGCTGGTTTTCAGTATTCCACTGTTTCCTCACTATGCCCTGATTTCCCCCATTTGGAATAATAAATATATATTCTGTGTTATTGTATGTTGGAAATATTACATTTGCTTTTATAATTTATAAGGGTTACAGTTAAGAGATTGCCTTGAGTCTCAGAAGAGGCTTTGGCCTTTTAAATTGTGAACGACTATAGGGACTTTGGTCAGAAGTAGGAGTGAATGCAGTTTGAATTATGATATGACCACACATGTATGGGAGTAAGAGAGTGGAATGTGCTCTTCCGTTTTATCCCACCCTGTTTCATTTCTTCCACAGTACTACAGCAGATTGTAATGCGTTTTACTGTTTTCTTATACTGCGATCACTGCTGGCAGGCTAACAGTGGGCTGTACGTGTCATGTTCAAGGGGAAATAGAAGAATGAATGGGTGCTAATCAGGCTCTTAAGAAACCTGAAACATACAAGGGGAAAGTGACAAGATCTGTGGGAGTCAAGACGAAGGGTCTTAGGGCAGAATGGGGAGAGATGGGACAGAGAGAAAGTGGTAGGATGGAGGGCTGAGCTGTGCCTGGAAGGATACAGACAGAGAATTGAGTTTCCCTCTAGGTTAGTAGAGGCAGACAGAGACTGCCAGTGGGGTAGCAGTATACATACACAGTGAGAGATGTGAAAGACAGTAGAGATAAAAGAAATCACTCACTCACTCACTCACTCACTCACTCACTCAACACTGTGAAGGATGGACAATGTGCAACACTGAATTAAAGGCAGAGAGCTAAAGGCATAAGAAGAGTACAGCAAGTGAGTATAGCCTGTGCTTTCTAGAAACTGAAGTTGCTATGGAGTGGGGTGGTGTCTATCTTGTGGGCCAGAGTGGTCAGACCTATGCACAGACAGCGGAACAATCTGGCACTATGATGGGCACTCTGACAGGATAAAGGCACAATATGTATAACTAGATTATTTTCCTGTTACCCTGTGTTTTCCCTCAGAATTACAGAAAAATTGCAGACATTTTGAGAATTTATAAACATTCAAAGAAGAAAATCTGTTCATCTGTGATCCTATTCCTCTAATATTATCAATCACTCTAAAGTAAATAAATTAGTCATTTAACATGTATGGGTGTGGTGCATGTATACCCGCACCATGTGCATGTCTGGTGTCCTTGGAGGCCAGAATAAGGTATCAAATCCCCGGAAACCAGGGTTTCAGACAGTTACAAACTGTGGGTGCTGGGAACTGAACCTGGGTCCTCTGGAAGAGCAGACAGTACTCTTAACCACTGAGTCATCTTTCCAGCCCAAAGCTAGTAACAATTTCCATCTTTGTTCTATACTATATAGAAAGTTATATATGTCTAAGATACCATCAAATGTGTACATTTAAATTTCAGAAAAGAAAAAAACCTGTAAAACATCTTAGAATTGAGAATATAGGGTATTTAAAAATGAATTGAGATCCATAGAAATCAATATTTCTTCCTCTGTGGTTTGGAAGTCAAAACTGTACACACCGTACACACTGAAGTTACATAAAAACCCAGGCATGAGGCCAGAACATCCTGGTTGGAGCTGCCAAGGATCTCAGTCCATTTCTCTCATCTGTTAAATACAGGTAGCAATGTCACTTCACCACCTGAAATAGTTCCCAGTATTAAATATGATGGCAAGAGGCAGGCCAGAGGAAACTGTGCCATGTGACATCATTGTTTACAAATTCTTACATTCTTCATCAAGGGATCAGTAGCAGGTAGTTGCCCAACTTCTAAGATACAACCAGGTGTTACACAGGACGGATGGGGGATGAGGTGATGGTAAGTAGAGGACACATGTGGGGAGCAAGGGGTACTGAGTTTAGTTAGGCAGGGGCCAGACCACAGTGTATCATTCCAAAGATGAAGAACACTGTGGGTTGATCATCCCATGGGCCAAAGAAGACAATACCCTGAGGGCAAACAGGGCTGCCACTAGTCTAATGACAACTGTCCAGAATCTGCTGCAATCATTGTTACTATATCATATGCAAGAAGAGGAAGAAGGGGTCTGGACAGATGGTTCAGAGTTTCAGTTCAGATTCAGCTGAATCCCACTACAGCCTGAATAAGCTCCTTCTATCTCCTACATATTAGTTCCCTCCTTTGCTAGTAAAATGGGAACACTTCCCTTGCAACTGAGAACTCCAACAAAGCCCTCGGTATAGTGCCTGGCAGACTCATTGGTTCTGCAAATTTATTAGTAACAGTACTAATTATGTCTATGGTTTCTACACAGGAACCAAGATGAGCAGAATGCAAGCTCTACTTTAGGAGACAGCCTAACTGCACAAGTGGAAGTTCAATTATGTCTTTTATGCCACACATATCTACGTTCAATGTTGGCTCTGTCACTCAGGCCTGTATTACCTTGGACTTGTGAGTGGATTTCTCTGGGGCTTAATTTCTTCTGCTGTAAAACAGGGATTGTGGTGCTCACCTTGCAGAGCTATCATAGAAACTCGAAAAAGTATCTAGAAATTATCAATATTCTAGTTCCATGTGATGCTCAACAAACTGCACATCTCTCAATAGCAAAGTTCCTAAGGGGAAGCTGTAGGCTCCTATCTCAGTCATGACAAAGAGGCCACAGCTTGAAACCTCACTTTATTATACCCTAAGATGTCCAACTGGCCTAGGCTTGGTTCACAAATAAACTATAAATGACCTAAGAACAGCTGTCAACAGTGAGGCAGTCACTGGCAGCCTCACAGAATATTTACCATGGGACTCAGAAGGGGACTTTTAAACCACTGTGTCTCTATAGTGTAAGGAGCTACAAGAATGGACTAATTAAAATTAAAACTTGTTAAAATCATTAAAATCCTGGGAGAAAGCATTAAGAAATGAGAATACCTTCAAAGTTACACCTATCACATTGATGGCATCCTTCACCTGAGGGTGGCTGGCACACTGTGTAAGCTCTTCACAGATCCAGACCCCGAGGGAGCAAATGGCAATGCATCTTTCAAAAGAGAAGCAGAGGGAGGAAAACACTCATGAAATTCAATATATTTTAAAATGACAAAATAAATCTATTTATTCAAAGAAGCAACAATTATACTAATGGAACGTCTTCCATGAGAGAAAAGATAAAGAACTTCCAGGGGGCCAGTTTTCAGGATAAACAGAATCATCAATGCTAGTTAGTACTTAAATATTTCATCAAACAGTGGCAGATTTTCTGTTAACTACCACAATCCATGTCACCCATTTCTGTTGACTCTAAACTGTCATTACATCTTATTGTTAAGATAATTTTGAGGAGGAATAAAAGGTGTGGATCTTAGATTACTGAATATTCCCTTACAAAGTGTACAGTATATACTTCAAATGTAAGACAAACACTGTCTTTGTTTTTAAAGTAACTTTCAAAATACATTTTCACTGTAATTTCTTCCAACACCATGCTAGTATAAGCCATTCCTCAAAGAAATGTGACTTTCCATAAACAGAACAAATTAGGGGAATCAAATTACAAAGATTATTTGAGAGGTATGAGAAGATTAAAAAAATATCAGATATATTCCACAAGACTTTGAGCTGAAAACCTAAATAAATATTTTCATTTCTTAAGATGAAATCTGAGGGGCATCATGCTTAATAGGGTAGGGGCTGTCAGAAGGCACTGGAAGATTCAGTTATGCCGTGTTACATTCGGATGTTAAGATAGCTAACTTGAGGTAACAAGTACGCAGCTCAATATCTAAGCCTGGCTATGTAAGAAATTCATTAAAAACGCCAGGTAATCCAGGCATTGGTGGCACATGCCTTTAATCCTAGCACTTGGGAGGCAGAAGCAAGTGGATATCTGTGAGTTCAAGGCCAACCTTGTCTACAGAGTGAGTTCCAGGACTGGCCTCATAGCTACTTAGAAACCCTGTCTTAAAACAAAAGAGTCAGGTAAATAAATTGGAAATAATCAACAAGCAGACTGACTAGAATGTGTGAGACAGGCAGGCAGTAATGGGGAATGATTGGGTCACTTTAATATGCAGAAGTTAGGCAGAGAAGGGGAATTAGCACAGGGGTCAGGAAAGGAGTATTGACCAGAGGAGAGTAGATTCTATTGTAGGGGACAGACATTGAGTAGAAGTGGGTAAAGACAAACTCAAGACTTAAAAATCACAGTAAAATCCTAGCATAACCTTTATGAGAACTGAATGGAAATCCAGGAAATGAAATTGACTGTGGAAAAAATTAAAAGCCAAATGGGGAGGCATAGAAAAAGAGGCAGGAAAATAATGTAGTAAACAGGAGAAATGCTTAGGAGTTCCAATTAAAAATAAAATATTAAATAAGAAGAAAAACACACCCAAAAGATCGCTGGTGATAAAATGAACTAAAGTCTCCATTAAAGGACAAAGATCACACAAATTTATACAACCATAAAATCCAGATACATACAGCTTTTGCAAAGGCATCATAAAGACAATAAAGAAAAGCCATTTTGAAAAGATAAAATTATATAGTGTGAAATTAGGAGCAGGTAAAGTGGGTATCTAAAATAAAACAAAGCATCCATAGAAATAAAGAGGGCCATATAAACAGAAATACATTTGACTCACTACAGACCTAGGACAATTCCAAATGCCTATGCAACTAATAACATCATAGCCTTTGACAGAAATTCCAGGAAACAGGTTAAGTACAACAGTGGAAAGCTTTTAACATACCTTTCAGTAAGTGATCAAATCAATAAAAACAAAACAAACTCCAGAAGAAATGCAGAGTATGTGAAACACTGGAAGGCTACATCTAGAAGAGTACATTCTCTTCTTTCTCTTTTTATGTACAGTGTTTTTCATTTTCATTTTATTCTTATGAGTATTTGGCTGCATGTATATTTGTAGTGCCAAAGAGGGCTAGGAAAAGGCATGGACCACCTGGGACTGGAGTTACAGATGATTGTGAGCTGTGATATGGGTACTGAGATTCCAACCGGAGTCCTCCAGAAGAACACCAAGAGCTCTTAGCCACTGAGCCATCTCTCCAGGCCCTATGTACATTCTTCTCAAAAATATACGGAACATCTGCTAAAACTGACTACACATGGGGTCCTAAGACAAATAGTAACCACTTTAAATACAGTTGTCACACACATATTTTGAACTACACTGTAGTTGCTTGAGACAAAAAAATGTAGACGAGGGTGGAGATGGGACAGTGGTGAAGAGCACTTGCTCTTGCAAAGGACTAGGAGGTTCAGTTTCCAGCATCCACACATAGCTCACAAAATTCTAGAATTCAAAATTCTAGTTAAGCAAAAAACTAATTTATATAAAATTAAAAAATAGATTAAGTTTAAAAAATTTTAAAAGATAGAAATAACCATATTTGGAAATTAATTTAAAAAACCCTCATGAACTCATGATGAAAAGTAGAGAAAAAGTGGAGTTTAAAAATACTGCATATAAAAACTTATAAGCTTTGGAAAAGGTAGCCCTTAACAATAAGCATATAGTCTTAAACGTTGAAAGAAAAAGTTAAAAAATATACAAGTAAGCAAATTTAAAAAGTGACAAAAGAAGAACATCAGAAGTAGAAGAGTACAAAAGAATCCAAAGCTGAAAATAAAAACAAATATAGAGAGGTAAGCAACGACAAAACCTCTGCTTGAAAAGACTAGCAACAGTGACAAATCTAACAAGACTAGCCTTACAACCAGAGGATACACAAAATATTTAACATCAAAGATGAAGTGGACAAATTCTTGGATACAGGATACTAACCCTACTGCTGCAAAAGATATTCTGAGTGTGGAGAAGAAAGGATAGGTTACTTGTTTTGTAACTCCCTTGCCTGACATCCAAACAGGGTGAAAGCATGATGGGAATATACAATGTAACTTCCTGAACAAAACATTACCTGAATCAGAATCTATAAATCAAGATGGGGGTATCTCATACCCAAGTTTAGTTCAATGTTAGCAAACTGGTAATGCACACATAGCTTCTGAAAATGGCAGACTAGGAAAAACTGGACTAAGTCACCTACTGAAGATAAGTGAAGCTCAGAAAAATACAAAAGTTAATAAATCACCAGAGTTCACAGGACAATAAAGTTAGGGCCTCTGTCTTCTCATATGCCGAAGGGCCAGGGCATGTGCTAATTGTCACAAGGCTGTCAGAGGCTAAGTCTTACAAGGCTGAAAGTTGAGCGAGAGATGAATATTAGCCTCTCTCAGCATTCCCAGCTTTGGTCTACACCTTAAGAGGAGCAGGATTTCTTACCACATAGCTGGCCTAGAAAGCCTCCTACTTTATCACGTGCAGTAGCAGTCTTAGATGCTTGGCAGAAACACTTAAATGTTTCTACACATTGCCAAATGTCTCTTGAGGCACAAATCAGTGCAGAATCTCTGTTCGAAACATACAGCCTTAATGAACTGTTTGCCCTGCTTCTTTCTGAAAACATCATTTATTTCTAAATTTGCATTTTCTTAGGTAAAATTATATTCCATCTCACTCTGAATCTTACTCTTTTCTCTAGTAATAATGACAATGTAAGTAGCTAAGCATAGCATCTTTCTGATATAATGTTTACTATACATTTCACTGTGTATAAGAGAAATGGAAAGGATTTTTAACAAACATGAACTGTTTATACATAAGTGTGCGTCTTACAATTCTAACATAGTTTACCTCTTGTTCATCATTTACCTTGCACATTCATTTGGTTCCTCGGTAGCATTCTTCAGTAAAATATTTATGAGGTAATGCTAAAAACACAAAATTCAGTAAATGAAAATTTGATGTCATTGTTGGTTTCCCGCATGTGCTGACCATGTCACAGGCACCCTGGAGCTAGCGAAAGGCCAGGGAGTTCGGGCAGCCCTTCCTTCAGAGAGAACTTGGCTCACCTCAGCAAGTGCCTCCCTGGGTATCTGAGCCAACCTGCAGCACAGCATTTCTAGGGATCCAGTGGAAATCAAGCAAAGCATCTGAGACTTCCAGATAGGAAAATCTCCATTTAATTTTGATTGGATTACACCCTGCACATTGAATTACAGATTATAATCAGGGTTACAGATTGACTGACTGGTGCTGGGACTTTCTGTTTGCTCCAAATGTCAGCTGAGGACAGAAAAATATGCTTACTTTTATTCCCCAAGAAATAACTTGGAATTTCAGGTTATTAGTAGCTTTTAATCAGGCCACCAATGGGACTGAATATTTAGCTTATTGAAATTATTTCTTATAAATTCATTTGTTACACTAATGCAGTATAACTAAGCTAACAGAATTATTACAAATGATGATTCATTACATAATTATGATCCCTAGGAATAATAAACAAAAACAAAAAAATAAACCACCAGAGGAACAGAGCTATCAGGTCTAACTGCAGCATGCTGTGAATGTGGCCATTCACAGTTCACACAACTCATTTCTGAAAACAACTGCTGAAGCTTTCAGAAGACACAGCAACTGTCAGGGGAAAGGAGATCAGTGCAGAGGATGGAAGACAGTGACGGAACTCCAGCCGTAGACGCTAAACTCAAGATTCAGTTATGTACCTTGATATCTTCAGTTCCTGTGCCGACCTCACTCCCTTCTGGCACTGACTGCAGCAGAGGGATCTTCCGGTAGGTATTTGGGAAGCAGACGAGGGAGCCGAGGAGAGTGAGAGCTTCTGACCGGGGTGCCTGCACACAAGGAAGAAAGCACCAAGTTCCTTTACATAGGCTGGGAGCTTGAAGAACATGTTTTACTTTGTTCTGGTTTTGAAAGGGAATCATTATTTTTTCCTTCTAGATTTGAAGTGCTAAACTATTTATGGCTATTTTCCTGGTGGATGTTTAGGCACAAGTTTGTCTAAATGAAAAGGGAAATTTCCAGGGAATGGAAAACATCTCTACATTTGATGTAAACAGGTGTTATGAAAACCAATCTACAGACCTATTTAGAATTAGAAAGGCAAATGGCTCTGTCACGGCTATTTAAAATCATTTCAGTGTTTGTGATCTAGAAAGAGCAGGATAAATGAGAACAACTTAACATTATTTTTCAAGTAAAAAGCAAGGGCATCTATAAGGAAGGGAGTTGGAGGTAGTCATGCAAAGAGAGACAGGGAAGAGTGATGTCAGCTGGGAATGCAGCGATGACATCATGGAGAAAGGCACTAGGCATGCTTTGTTTAGTTTTTAAACATGAAGTTCAGAGTGACTGTTGTGAACTGTTGAAGTTTGCTAAAGTCAGGCATGGTCAGTAGTTTGGCTAACGACCTCCATGGTCCACACCCAGTGGTCACCTCCAGTCTCAATCTCATCTGACCTCGGAGGCATCTGATATGGCTCACAGCTCCCTTGCAGTATGAGCTCTTTTATCGCAGGGCTTCTGGGACACTTTCCAAAGAGACTGACAGTCTCCCTTGCTGGAACTGCCCATTTCCTTACCACCTAACTTTGGGGTATTAGCTAAAGTTCTTGACCTCTTCACTCACAGATTCATACTCAGTCAAAGAGCCATCTAGACCCGGGGCTCCCTGCTGTGAACTGCTATACAGTACTCCATAGCATGTGCATCATGGTTTTTGTTCTGTTGCTAATGGATATTCGGATAGGTTCTAGCCTTTGCTGTTAAACATCGCTGCTGTGTGGAAGCTTCCACAGATTTCTTTGGTGATGTGTTCCTGTGCACGTACTTCTCTCTCTCTCTCTCTCTTTCTCTCTCTCTCTCTCTCTCTCTCTCTCTCTCTCTCTCTCTCGTTGCCTGGGCAAGCAGGAATAACCTCACATTCCTGATTAACTGTGATACCTAAAAATTCTGGCTGAGCAGGTGTGTTCCTTCCAAGCACCTCTCACCAGGTGCACAGCTTTAAACCTCGTTTATATAGGAAAGCAAGTCAAAGAGTCATTCTCTCTTTTATACAACCATTATATTCATAGTCTCTCTGTTTAAAACACCATTTGGGAAAGCTTCACCTCTGAGGTATGACAGATAAAATTATATTTAAGACAGTGGTTCTCAACCTGTGGGTAGTGACCCTTTCAGGGGTTTGCATATTAGATATTTACATTATGATTCATAACAGTAGCAAAATTGCAGTTACAAAGTAGCAACGGAATAATTTTATGGTTAGGAAGGTTGAGAACTACTGATTTAGGGGTATAACATATGTATGTCTGTGTATATAGTTAAAAGCGGACACATAAAATGAAAGCTACAATTAAGATTAATGAACCCATCTATCATCTCAGATAGCTGTCCTTTTTCATGGAGGTACACTCTCTTGATAAATTTCAATAAGTTTACAATATTTTTAACTATGATCATCATTTTGTACAGGAGGTTTCAAAAAATTTACTCAAACTTTCTACACTGACCCACATCGCCCTGTTTACTCCCCAGCCCTTAGCAAACACCAGACTACTCCTTGTTTCTGTTCATTTGACTTTTAAGAGTTCGCATGTCACAGAGATGATGCAGGACCATGTCTGGCTTATTTCCCAGGCAAAGTGGCCTCTGGAACCTCTCATGTTGTCAAAGAGACAAGATGTCTCTGTTTTTAAGGATGAAGAATGTTCTACTATATGTGTCACATTTGCTTCCCCACACATGGACACACTGTAAATTGCTACTCTTACTTGCTAACTGGGAATGATGCTGCAGTGAGCGTGAGAAGCAGCTCTCCTTTCCATATGCAGATTCTACTTCCTTTGGCCATATGCCTCAGTAGAATTATCAAGTCACTTACTGGTTTTTATTAATCTGTGAAATATTCCTTTACAGTATTTGAATGTATGTCACTATGACTGGTATAATAAAAAAAGCTAACTGCCAGAAGCTAGGCAGGATTTTCAGGGCAGAGAGAATGCTGGGAAGAAGGGTGGAGTCTGAGGATCGAGAGTCAGATGAGTAAGAAGCATCATGGAAAGTACATAGATGATGTAAACGAGCCTCGGATTATCAGAAATGAGTTAATTTATAAGAGCTAGCGAAAAACAAGGCTAAGCTATCGGCTGAGCTTTCTTAATTAATAAAGAGTCTCTGTTGTTTGGGAGTTGGTGGTCCCAACGAAAAACTCCACTTACCTTAATCTTTTAAAGTCATTCAAATGTCAACAATGGCTGTACCATTTACATTCCCTCCAAGAGTATACAAGAATTCCCACTGCTCCATATCTTCAACAACACTTATTTTCCTTTGTGATGACAACTCTTAACAATGGAATTTATTGTCTTGTGGTTTTATTTTGCATTTCTGATTCAACATAAAGGTGTTGAATATTTTTTATATGCCCATTGACCAATGTATGTTTGAAAGGTTACTTTAAATAGCTCACCTAGGCATAAGATCCATGTTGACAGGGAACTCACCATGTGTGGGGCTATCGTATAAAGGGCTGTAGCATGTTCTACAGAAGAACTAGCAGGTAATAAAATTCTAACAAAGTACGATTCTCTTGTCTGTGTCGTGTAATTTTTTTTCAGTGCCAACCTGAAGGGTTGACCCTTAACAAGAAGGTTCTTTGGAGATGATTTCTTCCAATCAATAAATAACAAAGTGAGAAAAGTTGTCACAACTTTAAAGAACTTCTACATTTTTAATTCCTCATTTTTTCCTTTTCTCATTACTCCTTTTTGTTCTTATCCCTTCCTTTCTCTTTAGTTCCTAATTTACCCTTCTATCAAGACATTAGAGTATAAAAATATGATCACAAATTATCAATTTTACAAGTCCTAATCACCTCTCAATGGAAGTAAAAGATTAACCATATATCAGACAAAGTTTAGCATCCCGACTACTCATACTGACGTCGGGTAAATCCCTGGCAAATACAAAATACCATCATCTTTACAGAGTTTGAGGGGTGGTGACTCACTAGATTAATAGTTTGTACATACAGCACAAATGGGAAAGACACTTTAAACCTAAATGGAAGGGCACTTCTGTTTCTTTCCATGAGACTCACAGTAACCAAACTAAATTCAACAAAACAACACATTACTTTGAACATACACGTCAAATTCTCTCTTTACTGCATTTATGTCTATAATGACATATACTGGCGAATGCTAGTGAGGGTCTGTAAGACAGGCCCTGCTTTCGTGTAACTGTGCTGACATTAGTGGGGATATGATTTCTCACACTTTGGCCTTTTGATGAAACGCCTTTCCAGTACCAGTATGTCATCTTATCCCACAATTTCACAGATCAGCTGCCAGGGTATCTACTCTGAGAGCCCAGTTTCACATTGCACTAATGAGTCAACACCTGTTAGAGTGAAGAAATCTGAGCCTTGTTAGCAATTGTCTCCCAGGAGCTGGGATGCTGAACATTGTCATACTCACCGCCAACATGTCTGTACTGAGGACCCTGGCAGCAGCAGTGATAAAGTCCCCAACCAGCATTGAGAAACCAGGCAAACCCAGGGAGAAAAAGCGGGGTGAACAGTTCCTTATAATAGTGTTTAAGACATCCTGAAAAGGAAAATAAGGAAATACAACTGTAATTTTAAGAACAAAATTCCAATGTGGTTTCTTTGTGTACATGCATGACCACCATAAGAGAGCAGAGAAAGGTGATAGGTTTTTAAGTGAAAGAGTGCAGGGAGCATATAACTTCAATGGTTCCTGTACACATATCTTGTTAAGGAAAATGGAGACAACAAACTGTAAGATGACTTATCCAAAACCCATCCTGTGGCACTGAGGCTCGCTAAACATCTGTCCTGTATCCCCCTTGACAATGGGCTCCTTGGAACAAGCTATAGGACTGCTGAGAGGGACATATAAATGAAATCCACCAACACCCATAAAATAAAAACTAGGTTGTCTTTAGCTTCAATCCCCAGAGGCTAAAAAACACTATTAGAGAATCTTATAGGCAAAGGAATGGAAGTTTTAGGCACTAAGAAATGGGAGTGTGGGCAGTGTTAAGGTACGAGGCACTGAGGTCAGGGAGTTGCCACAGATCTGTTGTGCGCAGGAGGTACAAACACAAAGCCAACAGCAGCCATTTGCCAGAGTTCAGCATCAGGAGCATCTACCCGCCAGCTCTCCATCCTGTGCCTATAATGGACTCCTGTGGAGGGCTGGCTGCCCCCCAATCCCCAGTCCCTCACTCCTGCCTGTGCCGGATCAGATCCACCACAGGGCAGTGTTCACATCATCACAGCCAGGCCCCCTCTAAAGCCATCTGTGTGAGTGTGTGCATGTATAAGTGGGATTAGAATGAAAACTACAATCTTCTTATACACAGATTCTAGGCTGGCACATAAATCAAACCCATCACACTGAAGTACTTTAGTTATTTGACTTGCCATCAGGCAACCAATAGTTACTGTCAATATATAAGAAAATAGCAAAAGACAAGACCCTTAGCTGTCAGTATGGCTATCTGAATAAGCCCTTCAAAATAGTCCTGTCTTAACTAATAAATCGGAGCAAAGCATAGCAGCATGCTAATTTCCAAAGTTATGTTAGGCCCTTCAACAGATTTATCTCACTTCATAACTTGTCTTCTTAAACACAACTTGCATGTGCTCACAAAATATTTTCCCAAGACATTTTTCTTATAGATTAATTTAATTTATATAAAAATAATACTATTTCTTGCTTCAAATGACCTTAGAGTACTTAATATATTAGTGTTTGCATATGATAAGCAATTTAGCTTAAAACTTAAAAGTTTGGCATTTCAGTGGATTTTTCTTATACAAAAGTGAACATGATTTACAGATAAAAGATTAGGTAGTTAGGTAGGTAGGTAGGTAGATAAATAGATAGAAGATAGATAGATAGATAGATAGATAGATAGATAGATAGAAATAGATATAAAAGGAAGGAATGGAAGAAAAACTAGAACCAAGGTTTTTTCCCAGTTAATATTTAAGCCTGCTTTAATCATGTCCTGCGATACACTTTAGGGTTCCTATCAGCCAAAACAAACATTCTCTGGGCTGAGCAGATGGATGTTGCAGGTTAGAAAGTGTGTGGTAGACTTAGGCTCCAGGAGTAGAACAAAAGATCTACCTTTTTCATAATTAAGCCTCTGATTAATGCCCTGGGCTCCTCACCACACACCTGTAATTACTCACAGAGGTATGCATTGTGCTGGGGCCTTGTCTCAGAATATCAGGCATCAAGCTATCCAGCAGCAGGTGGAAGCACATTTCTGTTGACATATGCTGCAATGAAAGGATTCGTGCAAACCTGGCTAGCAAGGTAGCAGAATGCCATGCATCTGAAGATTAATAATGCAAACAGCCATGATGTTAGCTTTGTTATGTTTGCGTTAATTCCATCTGTTGAGATGAGGAGCTAAAACCCTGAAGCCTATGGGCTTTTTAAATCTTTAGCACACACTAAACTAAAATGAGCCATTTTCACCACTGTAATTTAGAATTTTGGTTTAAAGATGGTTTTTCTGGAATAGGTTTTTGGGAATTAGGAACTGAATCCTTTAGCAAACTGAAACCATAATTTGTAAAACTTGCTTCGTTGTTACATATGCATAAAGACCTGGGGGGTGGGAAACTATATTCAGAAGAAACTACAAAATTGTCACTGGTGCTAAAGATGGCAGATACACATGTAGCTGACATAAAGTCATAGGGCTCACCCAGTCCCTGGACCTGGGCCAGTGACTTCAACCGAAGCTGCTTCTATGGGCAAAGAGATGGGAAAGAGAGGGACAATAACAGGTGGCAAGCCTACCCGACTTGCCACCCACGTAAGTCAGAGCCTGTAGAGAAAGTGTGCCTCTGCTGTAGTTACCAAAGACAACACTGGGGCAGGGTTAATGTGGGGGTTAAAGAGGGGGGCATATGACCAATCAGCCAAATTACCGCCACATGCTGGCTTACTTTGCTTATCTATACTGAAATGGAGCAGTCCAGAGGGTCTATCTTTGAGATAACATTTTAAAATTAGGAATAGCCACATGGTACTCAGGAGAGCATCTGCCATCCATGTTCCCAACAGAGGGCCATCCATGATGAGCTCCATTCATTTCTAACTCATAGAAAAATAATTCTTTCACTCCACTCATCCCCCTCGAGGTATTAAAATCAATCTTTGGAAATACAAAACAAAATTCTCCACATTCTGATAGTTTATTCTCAGCCTACAGGGCTTTTATTATATGAACAAGACAGAATGGCAGTTACTATATACCCATCACTCAAGGGGCAGCCCTCATGCCCTTTTTAGTACACTCCCTCTAAAGCATGTTTTGCCTAGCAGGTTTTTTCAAAGTGACTCACCTTTCTGAAACTTAAAATTATACTGGAAAATGATTACCCTTTGTCAGAAACAGAATATACTCCTTAAAACCAATATAATATTAACAAGCAAATGATGCTGAATTTCTTGCTACAAACATCACTAGATGCCAGAACTCTTTGTTTAAGACAGGCACAGTTCTTTAAAAACACTGGTTTGCAATGCTACAGGGCCCACTTCAGTGGCCGAGCCACCCCCACCCAGCCTGAGAATGTCATAAGGATAGACTGTACTGGGGAAAGGGGCTGCTTTTCTTACTGTGTGACCCCTTCTCTTGAAGTCACCTCCACTACAACCGCTGCTGGGAAATTTTCCTGTGTTCAGACTCTCCCCACGAAGAACCCTAGAAGTGGGGCCATCGGGCCTGAGTGAGTCACAGACTGTGGGCCACCCAGGAACAGCACGTTTCTTTCTTCCATAAGATGGGGCGACCCTGGCTAATGAGCAGTGGGCAGTGGGGGAGATGTGAAGAAGTGCTTTGTGGAGGCAGGCAAAGGCCACACAGAAGTAAACAGGATTGCTCGCAGTGTTTTCAAAAAGGAAGTATTTTTACCTCACAGAACTTACTTCATAGGTTTGGTTGGTATAATTTATTGAATGAATGTTTATGATCTATAGAGGAAGGGTATCTCAAAACATTTCAGAGATAACACAGACAAGTCTCTTTGATCATGTTACATCAGAAATTAAAAAATCCCAGCAATCAATTCCCTAAAATAAGGTCTTTAACGAGAAATTAGAGATCATGTATATAACTTGGGGGTTAAAAAAAAAAAGGAAGTAAAATTAGGAACAAGATCTTTAGGCTTTAAGCTTTATTCTTTTGAGGAATTCTATAACCTGCCTCAAACAAGCGAGTCTCATAATAAGAACTGGTTTCTTCTGTACATTCTAAACAGACTAAACAAGAAATTCAACTTGACAACAGGCTGAGTGGCAAATGGAGTCTGGAACAGGACTCAGGTTTATTCTTTACGCTGATGAGGACAGAGTCGACAAACTGTTTCTGCTGGAAAGAAACCACCCTGTGAACTGTCGCCACACAGTAAGCAGGACACACGCTGGCATTTTCTGTTTTGGTAAAAGGTCCATGTGCGAGCTCCATGCTCAGTGCTTTCGAAAGCTAGACTGTAAGATGATAATTGTGGCTTTGCAGCTTATCACAAGGTTCAGGCTTATGAGAAAGCAACTGGTGAGAACATCTGTCTCTTATCACTGATCTTGCAAAAAATCAGGTAATTCAAATAGAGGCGTGTTGTTTCCTCTCCTCCAAAGCGCAGTTCTATAAACACAAACTACATTCAGCCCCTCAAATGAATCGCTTTAATTGAACGCTATGTACACAGTAACTGGAAAAACTATACGTGATAAGGAAAACATATGGTGACGGCAGCACAAATTGGCTTACTCATTCTGCACAGGGCTGCTTCTTTAGTTCTCTTATAATTGACCTTTAGAATGATAAATGTGTAAAATAATTTTGTTTATTACAGCTCTAAACCTTCCAACAATTACACAAAATGAAAATTTAAAAGGAAGGATTCCTTCTGGAAGCATTTCCATTGTTTACATAATTGCACAGCTATAATTTAGTGCTTGTGTTGTTATGGAAAATAAAAAAGGGGCCATTACTGGCCATTTCAATTCAAAATATTGCACAGTAGTGTCAAAGATGGGGACAAATGTTCACTTTACCACATTTTAAAGTGAATTAACCCTGTATATCTAACATCTCGGCACAGCATTCTTTGAAACACAAATGTGCAGAAGTTTCCATCCCTCCTGCACAGGCTAGGTTGCGGCTGTGCTTTCACACCAATCACATGTATATTTTTCACTTAATATTTGCTCATGACCTAGCAGATGATGACTGTAACACAATAGCCAGCCATCTGTCTCCCTGCCTCTCCTTGGAGGACTTGTGCTCGCTTCTCCAGAGCAAACAGATCCGGTTCTCCCACCTAACGTCACTTAGGCCCTCTGTGAGCCGAAGCAGTCATCAAGAAATAAGATCTGTGTGTGCAAAAATCACATAACTCTTCACCTGACTTTTCCCTTTAAGAAATGCTACACAGTAAAATGATTTCATTGCTAGTTTTCGGGGCGCCTATCTTTTTTCTAGTATAGGTCACAGGTACCTTTTTTATTTGATAACATGGGAACTGTTAGGATTTGTGTATCCCAGAAATCTGGTT